GTAAACCTTCACCTGAAAGTTCAATCAGATTTTCAGACGGCTAGTACCTGAAACCAACTGCACTCTTTAGCTGTTTTACTGGATTCATTGATACTCATTTGTTGCTCAAAAAGCGTCAGGTTTTGGAATGGCTCACCTAAACGAAATCTGGCTATGGATTCTTTACAAAAGGCACAATAAAAAGCGATCTTAAAACACGTTTGTACAATGAATGAATACCTACATGTACATGTATTTCAATAGAGCAGCTGCATTAAACAGTTTTAGGAATCAACTGAGTATGTAAATATTACTTGGTCAAATATTGGAAGCAGAAACTCTTAGTCTCAATGATAAACCAACAAGATATCAATGAAATATCCAGGGAATGGGAGATTTTGTAACTGACCAACTTTATTCTGGATCTCAGCATACACCTCTGGAGCCTTCTTGATCATTTCCAGGCAATGTTGTAGGCTGGTGTCCATGTCATGGAGACGACGCACAGTATCAGGTCGCTCAGACTCGGCACGGGCTGGATCAGTGACTAGGAGATGCTTGTAAACGTTCATGGCATGTTGTCTGTCACGCTGGATAGCCTTCACGTACTTCTGCAGGGCATGCAAAACCTTCTTGGTCTGTACAGTGGATCATAAAAAAGATGCTCAGTAAGGAACAGAACTAGGAACACATGGAAAATAATTCAAACAGTCTGAGTAGTAACCTTGAATCAATGCTCATTGTTTGATGGGCTCTAATCAGTTACATGAACAGTGCCCTCTATTACAACCAGATTATGCCACTAAAGGATAGACATTAGATTGAGATGAATTGCTGTAAGCTCACAGGGACTCCTACATGACACTCCTGAAGTTGCTGAGCAAGGAAAGTACATGTATTTGATGAGAAGAAATGGGCCATCAGTTACATAAGACAGACCTTGTCCATTTTCCAACTGCTCAGTGAAAATGAGCAACTTTTTACCATTAACCACTTCATGCCGGGGCATTTTTCAATGTTGATGATGCTGAGCCGGCATGACTATCATTTTTTTCGTTTTCGAAATCCTTCAAAAATTCATCATTTCATTTACCGGTCGTTTATAGCCGCACCAAGTAATCTTTAGGCACTACTCTAAGTTGACAAGTAACCTTCATTGACACCCGAGTATTTCAGCCAGGCCAGCAGCCTTATAAACAGAACCTGACTTAGTGCACTGCTGACCTCTTTTCAATAGGGGCCAGATTAGCGTGCAGTGGTGCCGTGTGGCTCATCGCCGCGGTGGTGGAGCGCTTTTGTCCCCGGTGGTAATCCACTCGCTCTCAATGCCCCAAACCCTGGTATACAGTTTTAAAACAACGCTGGATTATCACCACTTTTGAGAGTGAAAAATGCCGGTCATGCCCAGCAGCCTGGTCTTTTGTTCGGAGTACGGTCTTTTGTTACAGGGCCTTGTTTCCTTTGTCCGAGTTCGGAGACCCCGGCCACCCATATAAACCATACATCTCTGATCCCAGAGTCCCCGGCAGGAAGTGGTTAATGTTTCTTTTTACACAACCAAGAGCAAGCTGTGTTTTGATATAGTACTCACTTTGGAATCTTAATGGAAAACGGACATGATGCTGATGATAAATGTTTTGATCTCTTATTAGTTTCCACTGTGCGGTATTCATTTGCAGGCCTATGACTCAGAAGTGGCTCTATGCCATTTTACTTATTTTCACTGAACAAGTCACATTTTGTGTGACTGGGGGGTCTAGTTGATTGATGCATAGTACACATATAGGCTGAGCTTTGGCATCTCCTTGGAGATGCCAAATCTCCTTGGAGATGCCAAATCTCATCGATTATCTTTTTCCTGTACTTTGGCATCTCCTTGGGAAAACATCTTTTGATCCTTGGTGGATAGAGAGAGATCTTGTTTTACATTTACCTTGGGAGGATTATCCCTAAGGGACTCGGCAAAATACTGTTCAGCATGTGTTCTCTGCTCAGTCAGTCGAGCCTGGACACGCTGCTGGTGGACCTGGCGAAGCTGCTCATGCTCCTGGCGCCCGGCTATCTCCAGCTCGGCCATGGTGTCGTCAAAGCGCTGCAGACCAGAGGGATAACACAGAGAAAGTGAGAGGTGATGTTGGGTTTAGAAGTGGGTCACGAGTGGGAAAACATTGGACAAATTTATATCAGATATTATGGGCAAAATTTGATGGAACTAGGCACAAGTTACAGTGGAGAAAAATTCAAAACACTGAATTGGGGGGTGATTTTTACCAATTTTTTTGATTCCTGATATTTGAAGTTAAAGAACATACAAGAAGAATTTTAGAATCTTGCAAAGTCTTAAAGACCAAGTAGACTGAAACCCATTTTGAGTACAGGACTTGAAACAAAAGCATCCATGCGTCATTATTTCCACTTTTTGACATCGATGTGTGCAAAACTTTCAGTAAATAACTTTCCAATGTCAGACTAAAGCCCTGTTGGAGAGCCACAAATAGTCCTTCATCAGAACAGCGCCCTCACAGAGAATCAATCAAACCCCACTGGTCTACTAGATGCTGAGTCATGGTCCCTGGGGTCAGATTGAAGAAATTGATGCCCATCTTTGACACAGTATGGGAAGCGTTTTGTTTGTCAGTGAACCGTGACACTTCTGCTGGCTGTGCAATTGCCCAAGGTTGGTGGAAGGAATAGATTAGAGATGTTTTCAGGTGTTCTGTGTTTAGGTATTAAAATTACATGTACCAGCAAATTCAAAACACGGGGAAAGCACTAACATGGCATCTTCAGCAACATCACAAGTAGTGAGCATAAATATAACAATTCATGTTAACTTTCCAGTTTCACTAGAAGGAAGTTTTTGAGACTACTTAATTTCAAAGTGCAATATGCAGTTAATCAAGCTCTTTTAAGACTACTTAGGATACATACTTTAAAGCAACAATGGTACAGGAGGGTACAAGTTATTAAGGATGGGGAAGGGCAAGTGTGTTTGGGCATGATGTGGTTTCCTATCCTAGTGATAATGCTCTCAAAGGCAACGACAGATCTAAACTACACGTACTAGTATGATTCATTTTCATGCATGGGAGGAAGGGGTCCTTGCCCTGCCTGTCCTATCTTAGGGGGGGGGATGGGATGGGTGCTGATTCAAGCCTGTCTCTTGGCTTTTACTTTGGGATTGTGCGTGAGACCGAATTTTATATCTGTGTGTGGGTGTGGGGAGGGGCTCAGATTACTATGGCCATTATGCTTTCTCCACTTCAGCTCATCTGTACAAGAGAGGGGCGGGTAAGCTGGGATGTGGGGAGTGATCCTGCTTATTGGAAGGAGGAGGGGTCTTAAAAGTAAGCACAGCCATTGAGATTTCTTCCTAACTTCAGGTCCACTGATAGGGATATAATATAGGAGAAGTACATGTACCAAGGCTTTTTCAGGGAGGTTACATGTACTTATAGCCATTGTACCTATCTCCATAAATTCTGTGGGGGTGTGGGTCCTACATGTATGTGAGGATAAGGTTTTGGGGTAGGTATCAGCTTTTTTGTGGGGGGAGGCTACTTATGGGCATCACGTCNCATGTATATGAACATTCATTCAAGATTGGATCAGGTGAATGGAGGCTGATAATGCCCACGCTGAAGGCATTTTTGCCTACCCCAAAAAAGTCACAAAATCATCCTTTAATTGTTTAAAATTGAATCCTACATTAAGTGCCGGATCAAGGGGTATACAGTCTGAAATTGCATGGACAAGACAAAGATTTGCCATGGTAAAACTTTCAAATCTAACAAAACATGTTCATTTGTCATCCTGACACTAAAGCAAATACAGAAAAAGAACCAGTTCAACTTCATAATCACAGTCAAACATACTTGTAAGTTGTACATATGTACACAATTTTAACCCTCAACAGTCCTCAATTCTCCAATATCAATATGATTTCACACACCCCGGGGGGTATAAGTCAGGACACATGATGAACAGAGAACCAGTTCTAAGTTATCTGTTGTGTTTAGCTATAAATTTGTCTTTAAAACTCCTCTGCTGATCTCAGGAGACAATCGAGCACTCCAATCATGACAGGCCATGTAATGATGTACATGTAGGCACATACATGTACATGTATGCACACACACAATGTGTAGCCAGTTCAGCGTTTCCACCTTTAAGGAAATTTCCTTATTATTTATGGAAATTTTCAAGTCCCAGGGAAATTTCTCAGGAATTGAACAATTTAACGAAATTTTAAGGAAAATCCAAATTCTGAATTTCCAGAATACAGAAAAAAAATCATGAAAAACTAGATTTCAGTTTTGTTCCAATAAAAAAAATGGCAAATTCAGCACAGGGATTGGGTGTACGGTATGTGTATTGTAATTTGTACAGTACCGCCCACATGTAGGTCCGTTTCCTCGCGAGCAACGAGCGAGCGCGAGCGAGGAAATTCTGTAACGAGTACGAGGCGCCTCGCAAGCTAACGAGGGGCCTCGCAAGGGAAGCCCCTCACTCGCGAGTTTATAACTAGTGGATTACGATCTAAACGAGGGACTCGCTCGTTGCCAGGTTGCGTGCCGGAACACAGCGAGTAGCCCTCGCTCGTAAAGCTGTTCGTAGTTGGGCAATGCGGGTTATCAACGTCAGTCATGCAGTGCAAAGAACGGTGAAAATGTGCCAGCAGCCTAGCTGCCTGGGCGCGGCTTCAACGGACCGGAAATCGGTTGGGATAAAATAATACGCTCGTGTCTGACACATCGTAGTTAAGCTGAACGATTTTTTTTCACTTATATTACTGTTCCCATTTCGAAAACGGATCTGTCAATTAAAATTGTACATAAAATTAATTGTAAATTATATCGGTCTTTCTCTGGGTCAGAATTTGTTATTAACATTCTTCATTAAAAAGCGCTCAACAACCTGTATATTTAAGGAAATAGAATATTTACTGCAAATAACAAAATGACATTTCCTTCCCCCATCATTCAACTCTTCCAACTGCTTCAGATTTTTTCCCAGCTTTATCAAGTGAGTGTCTGTTGTGACTTTATCTGGCTCTTGGAGGTGTCAACAGAATATGTGCAGCGGTTGCTACTATGGGAAGTCAATTATTATCTACAAGATATTATCATGGACTCCATGACATTAAGGAGCCGCCTTCAGAAGTTCAGATCCTACACGAATTAGTTTATTTGTAACTTTTCTCATAATTACAGTCGGACAGCGGTCATTTGCCGAGCACTTATTATTGTGTTTGTCCGAACAAAACAAAAAATGGTCGGACACATTTTCCAAGCAACATCAAAACAGTATTTGGGAATATGGTGTCCGATTTATTGTTAGTTTTGAGTTAGAATAACGTTAATTATGCACCCGTCGATTGTAATCCCGGACTCGGGGGACCCAAGACTTTCGAAAATGTAGCGGGGACGTACCCGGGGATGTCCAAAAAAGGTGGCCTGGGTTGTACAATGGCTGCCCTGCTGACCCGGGACGATAGCAGGGATTGGCCGGGGTTGTACAATTTGTTACACCGTCTATCGTTAAAATTTTATAGCACTGAGCTTCGATATGAAATAAAAGGTGTTTCCCCTACCCTGACAGAGGAAAACCTGACAAAGATGACTCCTCATTTTCATGATTTTGGGATCAGTGCGTGCAAAATACAGACCTTTCTTTTTTTACAAACATTGCCGTCACTTTCTATGGACTGCTAAATGATTAAAACGTGTGGTAATTTAACCTTTCAACCAAGTACATGTAGCACTGATCACGTGTCTTTTGGCGATACATTTCAAATCATTGGTTATCTTGATCAATCTTTAATAAACGAATGATGTGTTGTGATAATTGTCTCATGGGCCGGCACTGGCCATGGCCACATGTACATAACGAGCGTTTCAATTGGTCAATTGGTCTCCACACAGCGCGTAACAAATTTTGCTATTGGATGAATTTCTGTAATTATTTCTGAGACGTCCGCAAAGAAAGAGTGTAGCAATTTGGGGTCGGCGGCCCCCAGCCTGATTCTAGTGCTTCAGATACGCGGACGAATGTTTCGACAAAATTTGGTGTAATTATAGCAGCTGCCCCTTGCTTTCCTTTATTTACTTTAAATACCACTTATATGGGTATATGTGAATACAAACATGTAGGCCTATACTGTAAATCTGAACTGCAGGTAAAAGGTAAAAAAAAAAAGCCTATCCTGTTTGCAATTACCCTCTTGGAAAACAGATTTACCAAGAAAGTAAACAAACTGCTGTAGAAATAGGCCTATTAAGTATTATTAAGTAGACCTATTCCACAAAATAATGCATGCATAGGCAGTTGTTATGACTGCATGTAGAGCATTAGATATGTAGCACAAAATTAAAAAGGTTGGACATGAGCCGCATAGAGCGAGTATTGAATATGCACGTCCATGACGTCAGCAGAAGCTCAAGCACTGTACCGCAACACTCTGACTGCAAGCAACGTTTTCGTTGTCCACGGGCACAAACGTACAGTAACGTCATGGTCGTCCATATTCATTGCTCGCTGACTGTTGATTGGTACCCGAGACAACCAGGGTCCTACAGGTACACGTGTGTAACATGGGACCAACTCAAAGTCAACTTGTCCAAATCCTTGAACCACTTTATTTTTCGTCAAAATCAGAAATTAGACATGAACAACATTTTTTTCTGGAAAAAAAAGTTAGCATGGTTTGTATTTATTTCAAACTTGTAAATCTACACATCACCCCGTATTTCCGACCTTGTCGCATTTGGTCCTCCTCCAGCAACAAATTTTGATCGGAAATACGGTAAGTTGAAGCAGCTCAAATCTACTACTGAATACAGCAGTCATCATGGCGGTGTGGTGTAAACGTTATGTACAGTCATGTACGTACATGTACAGTACAGTACATGTGCTGTACGTGTGATGGGGATGGTGTGGTGGATCGGAGTACATGAACCATGTTCTGATATATCGGAGCTGCCTTGGAAGACATTTTTGTGAAATCTCCAGTTTGGGCACGGAGCTACAAAGTTGTTTTTCGTTCACAGAACCATCGCAAAGCGGCGGATGGCTTCATTCAGACTTTCAACAGGTTCAGTGGACGATCGTCTGTTTTCATCATATTCATACTTAGTACCTGGACCGGACCAAGTTCATGTAACTCTCCCACCTTTTCGTTTTTGATCGTTGTGCAAAGTTTGGAAAGATAAGCTTTTCCTAATCATGGACATGACGGAAACAATAATAAGTCTGTTGACAAGCATTCTGACAGTTAACATTTACACCTTGTATCACCATTAGTCATCATCATTTTGCCACTATTCATCATGTTAATTACCATCATCAGTTCAGAGGTAATGCCTCATACAATAATATAATCATTTCAATCATGTCAGCCTATACAAAAAGCAGAGAAGACTGAGTTTGGTTAGCCAAACGTTTTCCAATTTTCTTGTGTATGTTTTTACTTGAAAATACCTTGATATGTGAAGAATGTTTCAGATTCTTGGTCTCTGTGGACAATGGATTTTGCACAAAACCGCTGAATAGGGTAAGTCCTATAACTCAAGAGTGTGCTAAATTTTAACTTATTCTCCCTCAGAATATTAAAAAAAAATTATTTTTTTAATAAGATGGCTTAAATAATTTAATCCTGGTTATGCTCACAATAAGGGGGCTGCTGTTTCTGCCTTGTCCTTCAGTGGGTGTGTGTGTGTGTGCACTTCCACAATTCTTGTCAGTGCAATAACTTGAGAATTCTTTATCTTGTCGACTTCAAATTTGGTTTCTGGAGTGTTCTCTGCGGTCTTAAGAACCCTATCGAATATGGTTGCAAAGCAATGAGGTCAAAGGTCAAGTAAGCAAAACAATA